ATAAAATAAATATTAACCTATTAAATAGGTGATTAAACTAATAAAATAATTTATAAACTATATAAAAATACTAAAAAAACTAAAATATAATATAAAGCTAAAAATAAATATATAATAATATATATAAAAAAGTAATTCTATTATAATACTATTTTGAACAATTGTTTCTAAATATTGGTTAGACAAAAGTTTTGAGCAAAAGTTTGTTTATCATATACAGGTTGAATAAATGAATAAAGAGTAAATAATAGGTAAATAACAGTAAAAAAACTGCCATTATTCTACCCTATATTCACTAAATAATAGCAGCATAATAGTAGCATAATAGCAGAATAATAGTAAAATAACAAAAGGTTTGTTAATATGAGTAAGATAATAGTAACATAATAGCAAAATAATAGAACAGTTCTATTATTTTACTTTTAGTTACAAAGACTAAAAGTAAAATAATAGAACTGTTCTATTATTTTGCTATTATGTTACTATTATGTTACTTATTGACAAAGCTTCTGTTATTTTACTATTATTCTGCTGTTATGCTACTATTATGCTGCTATTATTTGGTGGATATAGAGTAGAATAATAGCAGTTTTTTTTCTGTTATTTATCTATTATTTATTCTTTATTTATTCGTTCAACCTGTGATAGTCTTTATTACTTATTTTATTATTTGAAATAATAGAATAGTTAGTATAAATATCTTTCTAAAAGTAGTAAATTATATACTTAATGCTTTTTTGGTCTCTTTTAGCTCAACCCAATATTGAATTATCTCAACTATTAACAAAAATATTAATAATTATAATTTTTATAAAAATTTGTATTTAACAGAATATTATCATATTTACTTATACTTATTAAAAAATTATAATGAATTATTAGACAAATATTAGACATATGTACATTTAACTTAAAGACTATTATTGTAAGTATAATATATATTTGTTTTTTGTTCTATTTTATTATTATTTCTGTCTTTTTACTTTCTTATAATTGCTTATAATAAACATCTAATATTTCTTCTTTTATTTTAGAATTTAAAATTTTATATACTTTTAAGCAATCTTTAATCTATATACAGTAAATTATAGCATAATCAGTTTCTTTTATATTTTTTATAAAATCTGCTAATTGTTTCTGAACTAATTTGAGTTTTTTTTAATCTAGTAATAAGAAACATAACTCTTGTCTTAGAAAATTACTATTTTTTATAAATATATAATGATTAATATTTAAATTATTTTGTAGATTTGTTATATTATCTCAGAACAAAATTATAGTTAAGACCATAATTTAAACATTAAAGTAAATTTATTTTAATTTTTTTAAATTTTTCTATTCTATTCTAAAATAATTTATTTTTTTTTAATTTATATTTTTTTTATAAATTTTATTTTTTTTTTAAAAATAATCTCTTTAATCTTTTGATTTTTATTAATAACTTTTTTAGTAATGTAATTTAGTAAACTACTATAGAAAAGCATACAATTGGCTATACATATAACTTTTTTATATTATCTATTTAAGAAATCTACCTAAAGGTTTTTTACCAATTGCTATATCTAACACTTCTGCTTAGATGTTCTATTTTGAACTCTCTGAACTTGCAACTTGTATTAATTTTACTAAATCATACTCAGATGCCCAAATCATTATCACAATCTTAAAATTATTTTATTCTTAAAGTAAACCTTTCAGAGCCTTCTGTATCTATTTTTACAATTAATCTAATATTGCTATAACAGAACCAATACTTGCAATCAGGACTAATTATTAAACTAATATGTCTTTGTAAAGTTTATACAAATCTTAGCATCTACTTCATAGCATATTTTTAGTACTTTAGTATATTATTGTTTTTTTATTAGATTCTTAATTCAGATAGCCTATATAGAACTATAATCAGTCTATTAGTATATCAAATTAGCTTAATATCTTTTTTCTTTAATTCATTTTGAAAGCCTAGTTAGTGATACTTCTAAGCCTTATTTAATTCAGAGGTTTTTGCTTGTCTAAGTACTACAACCTTGGTATCTGTTTCTAGTAATTTAGTTTTTACAATAATATTATCAAATATCTAACTACCTTTCTATTTGAATCTTCCTAAATGGACTTCTTGTTACCTAATTTTAAATTTATATGATTATAAAAACTTATTTAGTGTTTGCACTATCCAATTATTAGTTTGCATTTTTTATGTAACTCTAATATTGCAATTATACTAATGCAACTGCTATTACAAATATTCTAATTTAATTATTGATAACAATTGCTATAATATAAATATTATATAAGTAATTATTCAAATTTTTAATATTAGATCTGCATATACTCTTTTTTGAACACACAAGTTTTGGAGTAGAGTAACCTTTTTGTTAAAAATAAGAGCAAACAACAAGACAAAACCAGCTAAAGTATTTACTAAAACAAGGGCTCTTGCTTTTGTTTCAAGAAAAAGATCCTTTACAGAATCACAATATACAAAAAGCATAAAAACAACAAAAAAAATAGCATTAACAAGCAGCAGAAAAAAAGTAAAGAAAAACAAAGAAAATATATCAAGCTCTCCAAACTTGATGATTGACATAGAAGAGGCTACTAAACATAAACAAAAAGAAAAGCAGATACTAAAAAAAATCTCTAATAAAAATCTAACAAGTTGGGACAAACAAGTCAAACTAGAAATAAAAAAAATGAAAGCTATTCAAGACCAAAAAGTAAACAAGAATAACATGTCTAAAGATACTATAATATAACAACAAACAAAATATTTGAGAAATAGGTAATATTAAACAACTTAGAGAAAATTGAAAATATAATAAGAAAAAAGCTAGATACAACAAAAAACTTGCAAAGTAATAGTTTGTTAAATAAAGCATATAAAACTAACTCCTACAATAACTTATAAAGAGACAGTAACAAACAAAAAGGCTTAAAAGAAACACTAACTAAACAGTAGTCTAGTCTCTTTTCAAAATTAAGAAGAGGACAGTCTACCTATTTCTTCTTTATATCCAGAAGCCAAATTAGATTAAAAAATAAAAATGCTTTAATAATAGATATTCAAAGAATACATAGCTCTTTTAATAAAATTATGGTCTCATTATTTAAAAACCTTAAAGAAGACATCATAGTAGCAAAACAACACTTTACAAAAGAAACAAGTACATATTTAGAAATTGTATTTGAAAACAAAAACAAATTAAAACATTATGTTATCAAAAGTATTAATATTTATGGCAGAATTTTCTTCAGCTTTATTTCTTTTTTTTTTTTTTTTTTAGTTAAAGTTCTTATCTTGGAAGATGCAATGTTTTTATTCAAGTATATTAAAACATGACATGCCACCAAAAGCTTACCTTACATTGGAGGTTACAACTAGCCACATGTGCACTTTTGGTGCCTAATTTAAGTAGTCTGTTTACACATTATTATATAAATTCTATACTAGTTGCCATACCTGCAAGCCAACTAGAGGTCTTGTCTATTTAAATCCTTTGCATATGCAGTTCTCCTTGTATCATAAGAATATCTCAAGATGCCATCCATTCAAGTTCCCAATGCTTATTATTACCCTTAGGACTACTTTATTCTTGATAGGAAACTTACTAGAACCTTTATGTCCCACATATATAGATCTAGTTTTATGCAATACACTATAGTTACTTAACATTTGCAGTCACAAAGGTTACCTGTTTAACCACTATATTATACTATTTCTACTCTTGTAAAGTTTACTAGAATCCCAATACTCATCTTTCTGGCATCTTTTTTATCATCTTCTACTAGCTGCAACTCAGAACTATCGGTCTTATTCCAGGCTACCAATTCAGATAGCCCGATATGGTATACTTCTGTATCTTTTTCCTCTGGCAAACCCAGTAGCCTGGTTGGTTATATGCTTCTCTACATATATTTGCCATTCAGTTTTAATCTTCGGTTCCTATGAAGATGTTTCATAGGCTTCAACTGGTCCAATGGTATTGTTAAAAGTTTATGCTACCTCTTTACTTAGGAATTTCTAAGTAGGTTTTCATCATCTTGGTTCCTTCATCTTCATTCAGTGGTCTTATCATGAGTTTGCACTAAAGTCTTATACAACACCAGTTAACATTCCTCTATATATGTGTAATGTTATACTTTGCATAGATGCCTAAGCTCTCAAAGTCAGAAGAACCTGACCTGGTGTACCTGGGTAACAGTCACATGAGGCCAACTGATCAACAGAAGACAGTTATTGTAATGCAGATATAATTTTCAAATTTTGTCATAAGTGAGATTTGAACCTTAGACCTGCCACTTAGAGGATGACAACCCAACTACTACACTAGAATTACCATCCTTCTTCAGCTTTATTTCTACAGATTTAAGAAAATCATTTCTTCTAGTTAAGATCAGAAATGTTCTACTGAATAACAAAAAAGCAATATCAGATACTATAAAAGAAGCCTTTAAGTTTGTTAACAAAATTGCATCAATCAAACCTCTACTAATTGAAAAAACACCTTATCTTATAGACCAATTGATTATAATCTTTGAGAACTCAGATGACCCTAATCTAGAAAACAAAATATCTTGTTTCACATATGTGTGAAACAATAAGGTCATAACAGAATAGAAATCAGCACCTAAGATATACTACTTTTGCAAAAAAGAAAGCTATATTAAAAAAGAATATCAAAAATTTTAGAACTCAGTAAATCTATGAATTAGCTATCAACAATACAAAGAGAACAAATATAACAAAAGACTTTCAGGAGTTAAATGAGACTCTAAAAAATATTGAACAAAGCAATAAAGAACTCCTATCATCAGTAAACTCTAATTAGCAAAAACAAAATAATACTAAAGATGATGCATATATGGCCTTAGAAGAAACTAATTCTAATTATTAGCAAAACTTTTAGCTTCCAGTTCTAGCAGAATTAGCTATAACAAATAATAGCTTAGATGAACAAATGCAAGTGATAACTTAAGAAGATCTCTTATCAGATACAGAAATGCTACCAAGAGATGAACTTGCCATTTATGGCTATAGAACATCATATCTATTTGCAAGTTACATCCCCAAAGCAGTTTCTCTTCTTGACAAAAATGAAGAAACAAATGGCTTTATCATAGTTACTAACAGAAAAACTAAAAAAGAAAACAGAACATCTAAGAAAGACAAAACAAGATCATCTTCTTACAAGAAAAGTAAGCCAATTCTAATTCAAAAAATCTAACAACCTCATATAATTTATGACTCAAAAAGCTAAACTAAAAATAGCAACACTAAATGTAAAAGAACTTAATAACAAAAAAAAACAACAAAATTCACTAACTCTTTTAAAATCATACAAATTAGACATAATAATGATTCAGAAAACTAACCTTAATAATAAAAAAACACAAAAATTTCTTAAACAACAATGGATTTATAACTCAATCTGGACTAAAAAAACAGCAATTCTAGCAGAAAGCAAAGACATTGAATTCAAAAACACTCAAATAAGCTATAAAAAAAGAATAATAACAACAGACTTTGTTTTTAAAGAATACTCCTTCAAAATAACAAATGTCTATACACCACTAAACATTAATGACAGAATAATCTTTTTTAATGATTGGAAATCTCAAATCAAAGAAAATAATATAAACATTATAGCAGAAGACTTTAATGTTAATTTTAACTCTAAAGACAACAGGATAAGTCAAGCAACAGCTTAACATAATTCAACTAGAATCTAGCTCTCTAATCTAACAAAAGAATTTATTAACACAAAAAAGATGTCAAGCACCAAGTCCTTTTTAACTTTTTTTTAAAAAACACAAAATAATTACTTAATAATTACATGTTTGGACTACATTTTTATAGATAAGAATTACAATCACCTTATATCAGAAGTTAGTATATATTTTGGTAATTTAGACCATCTTCTAGTAAGATACATACTGGAATTCAAACAAGAGTCTAAACAGCCTTCAGTCTGAAAGTTCAATAAAAAATTTTTTAAAAACAAATTACTAAAAAAGAGATACTAGAGGAAATCCAGAATGCTGGCTTAGCAGAAAACTGAGATTTATATAAAATCTATATATAATTAATTATCAGAGCCTTTCAAAAACTCAAAGCTTCTGAAAATAAAATAGCAAAGCTAAACAAAGATATTACAAAGCTAAGCAAAGAGCTTGCAGCAGATTTCTTAAAAAAACACTTTAATAAAAACATAAAAGAACTAAATCTCCAAATACAAGAGAAACTAACCAAGATAGCTAAGTTATGGTTAATTTGGTTAAAGACAAAATGGATCAAAAATGAAGAAAAGTTAACAAAATACTTCTTCTCAAAATACAAAGCAAGAAAGTTATAAAGTGCTCAGTCTAGAATTGAAATATCTAAAACTTTAAGCTCAGAAAATAGAGATACACTTATATATATTAAAAACCAATATACAAAATCTACAAAAAAGAAAATATAGATCTTAAGACAGCAGAAAAGATTACTGAAAGTTTCTCTCAAGTACTATAGAACCAAAATGACAATCTAGTCAAAAGAATTTCACAAGAAAAAATAACACAAACAATACAAGGCCTTCCTAATAACAAGTCATCTAACACTGATAGGCTAACCTACAAATTTTATAAACTTATATTATTAGAAATAGCACCAGTCTTTGAAAAGGTGTTCAATCAAGTACTAGATACTGGTTGTTTATCTAATTTATAGTGCAGAAATATAATCATACTAATTTCCAAAAAATCAAAAAACTTAAAAGACTTAAACAACTGGTGCCCAATCTTATTAGTAAATTCTAATACTAAAATCTTTATAAAAATTATAGCAAACAGGCTTAATGTAATTTGCAAGAAAATTATCTCAATTACCAACAAGGATTTGTTTCTAGAAGACAATAATGAACATAGCCTTGGATATAATTACTATATTAAGAAACAAATCAGACAGTTTTAAACAGCACTGAATGCTTTTAGTAGATCAGCAAAAGGCATTTGACAGAATGAATTATAACTTTCTGAATTTGGTTTTAAGAAAAATGAGCTTTGACAAAAAAATGACCAACTTGGTAGCCAATCTTTTTTTAAATCAAATGGCACATATTATAGAAGGCAATGTTCTATTTGAATCTTTTAAAGTAAAAAAAGAAGTACAACAAGAGGATTCTCTCTTTTTCTTATTATATATATTTGCATTTGAACTACTACTTATACAATTAGAAAGAAACATTCAAGGAATTCTTTTAAAAAACCAGTTCTTTAAACTGTCAGCTTATGCAAACAACTTAACAATAAGAATAAGCTTATTATCAGACTGAATAAATATTATAAAACTTTTTGAAATCTATGAAGCTGCCTCTAATGCAAAAATCAACAAAAACAAAACTAAATTAGTGCCTCTTATAAATACAGCCTGCAGGATTGAACTTAAAAATGAATTTCAATTTACTAAAACTACTAAACAGGAAACACTAACAATTCTCAGATATGAAGTAAACACAAAAGACATTCCTAAAAAGACTTATAGACAACAACAATTACTAGAATAAAAAAAATACTAGAAAAATCATCTAACTGAAATCTTTCTTTTAGAGGAAAAATTTTTTTAGCCAAGGCACTTATACTTTTATAAATATAGTATACAGCATACCTGACTCTGCTAAGTAAAAAACAGATTGCAGAAATCAACAGACTTATGATATTCTGAATTAAAAACAATTCCAGAATGCTGTCTAGATACTTTATATTTTAGCAATTATTTGAACAGAATGACTTTCAAGCCCTAATAGTAGAAGATATGCTAGATGCTAAACTAATTTCAGTATAGAAAAAACTCCTTACAAATGACTTTATATAGGCCAAATATAAAAGAGAAAAAATCACAAAAATCCTATTTAAAAAAAGAAACATATAAATAAATCAGGCATTAAAAACAGACATTATCAGAACAAAAGTCTAGTCAAAAGAATAAAAACTATATCTCTTAGTTTGGAAAAAAATCAAAGACAAAGTTACTGCAACAATTATCTGACTTTGGAAGCTCAAAGATATTAAAATAGAAAAACTTAATAAAAAAGAACTTTTAGTCAAGAAAATCATTAAAATCTAAAAAAAAAACTGATATCTAAACCACCTAATCCTATCTAACAACCAAACTGGATACTGATTAAGAAAACAACTAACAAAAAAAAAAACATCTTATAATATCTTTTTCATAAAGTTTTATTATTAAAATATCAGCTATAGCACATAAACCTTTTTATTACAGAAAACTACTTCTAATATAACAATGAGCTTCAAATGGCTGAACATTTTGTACTTAAATACAAAGTGAGCAAAAAAATCCAAAAACAGGCCTATGGCCTTCTAAAAACTAACCAAACTGAGACTCCTTTAACCTCTATAGAAGAAATTTTTATAGCAACAAACATTACAAATAACAAAAGCAAACAAGCCACTCTTTGGCTATACATAAACATAATTTATAAAATATAGTGCAACTATATCTTTTTCAAATAAGAAGACAGCAACCTCTTAAGCAGAATTCTACTTCTAATATTAATCAAACATTTTTGCAAAAACATATATACTCTGTACTACAATCTGAAAAACTGTTCCCAAAAAATGAAAAATATATATAAATATATATAATATTCTTAATAATTTGATTTAATAGAGGATAGTGATTTTAGTGTAGTAGTCAGGTTGTTATTCTCCAAGTGGTAGTTCTAAGGTTCAAATCCCACCTATGATGAAATTTGAAATTTAGTTTGTGTTATAGCAAAACTATCTTTTGATGATTAGTTAAATTTGTGTATTTGTAACCTTAAGTTATACCATCTCGAATGGAAGCTTGAGGCATCTATGCCAAGTATAATATTACATGTATATAGAGGAATGTTAATAACCAGTATCATATAAGACTTCGGTGCAAACTTATAATAAGACCACCAGGTGCAGTAAACTAAAGAACTAAAGAGTCAAAAACCCACTTGGAAATTTTTGAGTAAAGAGGTAGTATAAACTTTCGACAGTATAGTCAGACCAATGAAAGCCTATGAAACACCTACAAAAGAATAGGTAGATAACCCAAATATCAAGATATGTAAAGAAGTATATGACCAATCAGGCTGTCAGAATCATTAAAGAAAAAGGATACATAAGTATATCATACTGAGCTATCTAAATTGAAAGTCAGAGAAATTCTGTTGGTTCTAAGTAGTGATTAGTAAAAGATGATAAGAAGACATCATGATGATAGATACTGAGGTTCTAGTGAACTTTACAAGAATAGAAATAATATAACATAGCAGTTAAATAGGTAACTCTTGTGACTGCAAGTGTTAGGTAATTATAACATATTGTATAAAACTAGATCAGCTGTGTATAGAACACAGAAGGTTCTAGTAAGTTTTCTGTTAAGAATAAACTAGTTCTAAAGGTCTTGAAAGCATCAGGTACTTTAGATGGGTATAATCCAGAAAATGTTCTTGTAATTACAAGTCAGATTATATATACAAAGGGTTTAAATAGGCAAGACCTGTAGTTGGCTTGCAGGTATGACACCTAGTATAAAACCTGTATAGTAATATATAGGTGGACTACTTAAATTAGACACCAAAAGTACATATGTGACATGTTGTAACCTCCTATATATGAAAGCCCCTAGAGGCATCTGTGTCTAAATACTTAAATAAAAAAATAAATCTTCAAAGGCAGAGACTTTAACAGAAAAAAAAAAAAAATTTGATTTAATAAAAGAGTGTCACATGCACCTTTAGATATCAACACTAGGAATAAAAAAAAAAAATTTCAACATTAATAGGATTTGAACACTCAACTTACTATTTAGAAGATTGACAATCTAACCACTTCACTAGGTTGTTATATTCTTTTTTTTTTTTTTTTTATAAATTATTTTTTAATCATATTTTATTTTTTTTATTTAAAATATTAAAAATTAAAAATACCATAAGCTTTATCTATTACAAACTGCAACTTTCCTTCTTTATGCAAACAACTACATAGAATTTTAAGCAAGCTATTTAAAAATAACTTTTCAAGAATAATATAAAACAATAACTGCAAACCTCTACAAGAAATTCCAAGTTGAATAAATTGTTTCTAAAAGTAAAATTGATTAAATATTTGCTATTTATTTTAATTTTTATTTTAATATTTTATACAAACCATTTGGTTTTGAATCAATGATTTTAAAAATAAAATAACAATCATGAGACCATCAAATAGGATGGCAGAAACAGCATAACAGAAAGACTTTCCACTGCCAATTTTCATAATTACAAGTATATTCTTTTTTTCTACCATGTAAGTTTTTATCATACTCATTTGTTTTGGCCTTAGATTTGTAAATTTAAAAATATTTTCTGCAATTTTTTCAACATGCTCTGTAAAATCAATGACATTATTTGTCTCATCCTGTCTCATCCACTAACATTATATTTGGATCTAAAAATCTTTCATTCCAACCAAACAATTGGTATGTATAACATAATGAGCACAGACCCTTGAAATACTTCGAAAAAATATGACCGTATAGTTGTATCAAAATCCACAATCAATGAACCGAATGATGGATAAAACTCATTTTTCGAAGCCTATCTTGTGCTTTTAGTTTGTATGGAATTAGTTCCTCGCCAAAATTAAAGCCTATCAATTCCTTACGTTCATTAGCATATAAGTGATTATCATCAGCAAATCGACGGGTCATATCTAGTAACTCTAAAAAACCGAACTTTTTGATATTTTTTACATGTAAGAACGGACGTTCGGAATAGAGAAAGTTAACTGTAATTTTATAAAAATCGTTCACATAATGCGACGTAATTCATTTTTTGTCACCATTATTCCTGGTTTAAAGGATGATTTTTAACCTCAGCACCCTAATCTCTAATTTAAGTCTTAAAGTTTAATCTTAACAAGTTTCATTTGCAAATCATTCTTTTTTAAGAAATTGCTAGAGTTGTGGAACTCGACTGTTACCATTTATTTTGAGGTGATAAACTCGATATCTTATCTGCCCCAAGTTTTCGATCTTTTTGCTATAATGTCTTTAATCGACGACTTCATAGAACAATCAAATGAGGTGTTGGCGCCATCTAATGTTAGCAACTTATTTTTGGAAGCCTCGGGTTTCGAGCCGGCCGATCCAGTTCATATGGTGTTGTACTCACTTATTTCTTCAAGCTTTACTATTTCAACATCTAATGCTAATTCTTATATATATGCTCGCTTAGTTAGAAACTGGTTTTGTTAGTGCTGGTTTAGCCGACGACGATTCGGGTATTTTTACTTTAGATCGTGTCCAATTTCAGCCCCCTGCCCCAATGGTTGCAATGGCTGTATCAAATGAAGTTCTCGTAATGGCTTTGGAATCGAATCATATCTTAAGAATTGACTTACAACAAGCACATAATGTTGAAGGTATTAATAATTGGATATAAAATTATACTATCGAGGACCGATATAAAAATTAATTGATTTGTCTTAAATATTATTTTTATGATTTTCTTTTTTTGTAATTTAATGATACTTGAAGAAAATAAAAAGTCTATAAACTTTTCGTGCTTCATTTTATATATAATGATGCTTGTTAGATATCGAAATGCTACGTAAATCCGGCGAAGTGAAGATCTACAAAGTATTCTTTGATCCAACCGGTCGACATTTACTTATTACTACCGAACAAGGAGAAAACTTTTACATATTTGAAAAATGGAAAAAAGCCAAAGTTCTTTCAAAGTTTAAGGTATATTATTTTTACTATTTAACCATTCATTTATTCCTATTATTAAAATTTTAAAATAAAATATTTATGTTGAGGAATTAGGGTATAATAATTGAATCTGTTGGATGGAATAAAACCGTAGGAACTTCTGACACTTCAACCAAAAAGATTCTAATTGGAAGCCGTAATGGTATTATTTACGAAGCCGAAATAGAATCAACCGATGAATACTTTAAAAGAGGGGGAGGGGAGAAATATATCAAACAGGTTCCATTGACTATTAAAATCATTTAAATTATTTACTATTTTATTGAATATATCAATAATATATATAATATATAATGCCATAATAAAAAAATTTCAGGTATATTCGTTAAATGATAATCAACCTATTACCGGTCTTCGAGTCGAAGAGTTTCCTGCAATTCTTCGAAAATATTTCATATTAGCTACAACTCCTACGAGAATATATCAATTCATAGGCCATGCAAACCCTGGTGCTGATATAGATGGTGGCTCTATGTTTGAGGGCCTATTTGCTAAATATGGACTTAGCCCAGGTATTATAATAGATTATATTTATCATATGCTTAACACAATCTTATTTTTGCTTAATTGATTATTGTTGTTATTTTGTTAGACTTTCAGGAAATTCCTGGAAACTTGACATACAGTGAATTACACTTTTTTTCTCAATATCAAGATATACAATATCAAGGGTCGGCTAAAAATTTCGCGTGGTTGACTTGTAAGATTACATTTATTTATATATAATTTACGTAATATATCAGCAGTATAATAGCAAATAAAAAAAATATTTTTTTGTATAATTAGCTCCTGGCATTTATCATGGTAGTCTTGTTTTTGGGTCTCAAGACCATGTGGTTGATAGTGCAAAATTGTTACCGTACGTATTATTATGTGTTATTTATGTGCTTTATCATTCATTAACCATATAAAACTAAATGTATTATTTAGATACCCTTCAATGCCTTCAGAAAATGATCCATCTACCATGATCACCGAAAATCCTTTGTCAATTGCTCTTACTGAATTTCATTTTATTTTGTTATATAAAGAACGTATTAGAGCTATTTGTCAGTTAAATGATCAAATAGTTTATGAAGAAATTATCCCTCTTGTAAGCATCTTTAGAATAATGTTGTAAATAATATTATAACAATAAGGGTCTTTATTCTCATTTCTTCTACTATACTGAATCAAAATCTTCGCTTGTAATCGTTAGAAAGTTGGTGAGGTAGTTAAAAGTATGGCCATAGATAGTGTCAAAAATACGTTCTGGATTTATACTGATTGTACCATATTTGAGCTTATTGTTGCGAAAGAAGATAGAGATGTATGGAAGTTGTATCTAGAAAAGCAACAATTTGATACCGCGCTACAATATTGCAAGGTTATTATTTAAAATCATTTCTATTTTATATAAATTATGCGTTCTTCGCGGATCACCCACTAAAAATTAATGTATTACTATATTCCAGAATCCTGCTCAACGTGATGAAGTTCTTACTACTCAGGCAGATTATTACTTTTCTCAAGGTCGATTCCTTTTATCGGCAACTTACTACGCCCAATCCACTGTTCATTTCGAAGAAGTCGCACTTAAATTTGTAGAACGAGATGAAAGGGATGCATTAAGGAACTATCTATTGAATAAATTGGAAAAACTTCGGCGTACAGTAAGATAAAATGATTAAACCTTTTTTTGTTCTTTTTTGTAGATAAATTGGTTTTTTTTTTTCCACAAATAGGATTTAACTCAGAAAACAATGATTGCTACTTGGCTCGTCGAAATATATCTTAGTAAAATTAACCTGCTTGAGGATTTAACAGCATCAGGTTCTAGTTCTGACGACACTAGTAATTATAAAGCTGAACAGAAAGCTCTAGAAGGGGAATTTCAAAATTTTCTAGAACAATTCAAGGCATTTATATTTATTCATGGTTTTAGATTTTATATAAATGTGTTTATATTTGCTAATGCACTTTCTAATATTTCAGGATAATTTAGACAAACGAACGACATACAACCTAATCGCTAGTCATGGACGTACCGAAGAGCTCTTATTTTATGCTTCATTAATTGGCGACTACGATAAAGTAATTTCTCATTGGGTTCAAGAAAAAGATTATAAACAAGCTTTAGATGTTCTTAGTAGACAAGTATCTATCATTATTATTGTATTGTTTTCAATTTGTGACAATTTACAATTGTTGTCTAATGTTTACGATTTTTTAGGCTTCAATTGATGTGTATTATAAATTTGCCCCAATTTTAATGGAAAATGCACCATATGAAACGGTTAATGTCTGGATGAGACAACCAAACCTCAACCCTAGAAACTTGATGCCTGCGTTATTGAAATACGATCACTCAAAAACCTCAGAAGATGTTACTCAAGTACATGTTTATATTTTCAGTACATGTTTCATATTTAATATGTCTTGTTTTTTAATTTGGTATTCAAAATTTATCATAGAATCAAGCTATAAGATATTTACATTATGTAGTATCGCAACTGAACAACACCGATCCGGCAATTCACAATTTTCTTCTTACGTTATATGCCACACAACCTACATCAAATAATGACGAATCCTCTCTGCTGAAATTTTTGGCGACAGAAGTATGTTAATAATTTTGATAAATAGTTAAGAATTTTATATTAATAAACTTGTTTATTAGGGAAAGGAGCCTTATTATAACATGGATTACGCCCTACGGCTTTGTAGTCAAAACGGAAAGACACAAAGTTGTGTACATATTTATAGCAATATGGGTCTTTTCGAGGAAGCTGTTGACCTAGCTTTAAAGGTATATCATTTATGCAATCTAATTACGTTAAAAACGATATTATGTAATTATCCATAAAATTTAATATACAAATAATCCGTAAAATTTAATATATACATTATGTAGCATAATGATTTGGAGCTTGCAAGAATCAATGCTGACAAGCCAGAAGACGATGAAGCATTACGCAAAAAGCTTTGGCTTAAGATTGCACGACACGTGGTTGAGAAAAAACAAGATATCAAAATGTAAGTTTTTTTTAAAAAAAAATAAAGTTTACTTCCGGTTATTAATTTACATTTTTATTATTTAGGGCAATGGATTATTTGCAGCATTGCGAACTACTTAAGATCGAAGATATTTTACCCTTTTTCCCTGACTTTGTTCTAATCGATAATTTCAAGGTTTTTTTCTCTTATATTATTCGTTAGATCTTTTTTTTTGTTTTGAATTCTTCTGACATTATGTAACCATTCATCGATTTTATTTAAGAGTGAAATATGCGCCGCTCTCGAGGAGTACAATACACACATCGAAGACTTAAAACAAGAAATGGAAGAAGCAACCAAAAGTGCAGAAAGCATCCGATTAGATATACGAGAGTTGCGAAGTCGGTGAGTTGATACCTTCTTTTTTTTCTTGTCCGCATGTTTTTGTATTTTCATGACTTAAAAAGACGTAATTTTGTTAGATTCGCGATTGTCACGTCCGGAGAGAAATGTTCATTATGCGATTTCCCACTCTTGACAAGGCAATTTTATATATTCCCGTGTCAACATGCATTTCATTCAGACTGTTTAATTCAAGAGGTAAGAATGTATATATTTATTTTATTAATAGTAGTTTTGCATGTTATTTAAATATTAACCCTTGACATTTTGTTAGGTTACAAAGCACCTTAACACAGTCCAACTTCGCAAAATTTTAGAGCTTCAAGAACAAATAGGAAAGGAAAGAGCAAAAGAATTATCTAATTTTAATCATCCGCCAGATAGTACAGCACGTGGTCGCAATTCTTTTACTCCTGGAGGTTTAGATCGATTAAAGGGATTGATATTACCGGATGTTGCTACACATAGTGGTGACGATGTAGCTGTAGTCGTGTCAAAGGTTGATCAATTGAAGGTATATGTAGTTGTCTTTCTTAATCTATTATATATTTCGTACTTATTAAACTATTTTTCTTTTATTATATGAATAAAGGATGAATTAGATGATTTAGTAGCCTCAGAATGTGTTTTGTGTGGTGATATGATGATCAAGACTATTGAAAAGCCTTTTATTAATGAAGAAGAAAGTGATCTGCTAGTATCATGGGCTATCTAATTTAACTTTATAAATTTTAAGCCAAAGTTGGCTGAAGAATTTGTATCGTTTATAATGTAAAATTATTTTTTTTTGGTTTCATAACTTGGTCAGATCATTTTCACAAACTTTGTTAGTCAGGTTGATTTTTTTTTAGAAATTAAAAACATTATATTTATGTGTATTTTTTTTTATAATTAAAGCCGAGTATGTTCTATTTTTAAAATCTTGTGTTATGAAAATTAAGAAATGTTTTATTTGGCTAAATATTTTAAATGCCAATATTTTTTGGAAGACTTTTACTAAACGCACCTATGGTGATTTTCACCATAGGTGGATTTCACCCATAGTCTATTGTAAAAATATATTACTTATCTAGTAAAATTTCACATAACGTATCATTCGAAGCACACAGTATATTGACAGTTATACACGTACAACAGTATTTAAAAGCCATTCTCGCAGATCACGTGAAATAAACAAAATTTCTATTTGAGAATGAACTTCTGTTATCCTTTGCTTCGCAAAGGATAGTTGATGCTTTCGCTACGGCTGCCGCCTCCACTGCAGCATTTTTTTTTACTAAAGCTAAAGAAAAAAAAATAATTAGTTACCCTGACCTAAACCTAAACAAGGACTTTATCATTACATTTTACAAAATCATGTAATCTGCGAAATTTTTCTGTCTTGTATGTGTATGCATACATATATACATACCACGTACTACTAGTTATCAAAATGCCAACAATAGAAATTTTATTTCCTATCCAAATTCATAATAGTATTCAGACACTGTATGTTATACTAAACAATATATTTACATCGAGTGAGTTACAATTAAATGGGTATTATTTATTTTTCATACTTTATAATGTATGTAGATATGGGATTTTATCTATAAACCTAATATGAAAAAAGAACTATGTTAATATTCATCTTAACCCTAACTCTTAAAAAAGAAGAGATAAAAAAGAAACACGCATACATACCTTAATATATGCACTTATGTTAAACTAAAACATTGAATAACTTTAATTAAAAGATTAAGATTCTAGTACAATATTTTATTTAATTTTTTTTATTTTTACAAGTGAATATAAATAAGCAAACACATGATTTTTACAGAGTCATACACTTCATTATTATTTACATTTCTTATATTTATAAATATGAACAATAAAACATGTAATCATTGAAGTTTTGTAGATGTCAGATAGGACTATTAAAGCATGATAATGCATTATGTTTTAATAATTCTTTCCAACACTTGCAGAACTTTAATAGCAACAAATAAAATATTACACAAACTACATTATAAATTGTAAATACTAGTACAAACTAATGCTAGTATATACAAATACTAGTACACATTAATACTATATGTAATATGTACAAAATATACAGTGTTATCACATTATATTATTAGAACAATAAGATCTATGATGACTATTTTTGTTATAATTTCTGTATAAATAAGCATGTTTGTTCTTATTCTTGTCTAAAGATATGTTGTTATATATTAATAAATAAATGCATTTGAAAAATATTTAATCACAAACATAATATCTTAAGTAATTAATTGCATTACAACATTATTATTATTAATAATCATATTAAAATTTGTTTCTAATATTATTAATTTAGAATAATGTTTAGCAATAAAGTTAATAAATATATACATTTATCTTTATTATATTTTTATATATCTTGATATATTATTTAGTCATGTTGTTCTTCAGCATATCTGATATCAATTGATTCATTACTAATATTGAAACTAGTCATTCTTACTAAGTCCTTATTCTGCTATATATTAGTTAATTTTTTTAATATTTTTTTTTGTATACTATTATTAATTGCTAATATATGTTTTTGATACTTTTATTCTTTTGTTTGTAGTTTTAATGAGTTATTAATAGCATCATAATTATTTTTATCAACTGGTTGCAAAAAATGATCTTCTTGTTCTACTAGTTGTTATTTTATTTTATTTATAAACTCTATATGTAATTTATACAATTTATCAGTACATCTAATTTGAATTGTTAAATTCAATATTTTTTTTATTAGATCTAAGTCTTTTTTATAAAAAACATAATTTTTTATATAATGTTGTATTTTGAGTATGAAAACATATTGATCATAAATTAAGTCAATAAAAGAAAATTAACTTGAACCTTATATTTAAATATGTTAAATTTGTCTTCATTCTAAATTAAAATTATATGCTTATTACTATAATTATTATTTTTTTGTATTGCTTAATTATTAAACCAATATTTTGCCAAAATTCTAATATAAAAATATATTATTTTACTTTTTTTTTTTTTTTTAATGTTAAGGCGAGTAATTGCGACCTAGGAGTTTATTGATAATCAGTCGGCATATAACTAT